TCTGTTGCCCTGTGTCCTTCAATGAACGGGAGAGAAAGATATGTTTTTTTGCTGCTGACAGCTAAATGGAGCAGCGGGGGAGCAAGGAAAAGGAAAAATTAGAGCAAACCTATTGCTTTGTCCTGCATGGCCGTAGGGCACAGGTTTACTTTCAAGGCGAACTATGGGGTTAGGCTTTTCCCCATAGTTCTCCTAAGGGTAACGGGAGGACACAAACTAGCGTCCTCCCGTCACCCTAGGCTCAGTATACCGCGAGCTGTAGCTTGCGGTATACTGAGACGCCGCAGTATACCGCGAGCTGCTGCTCGCAGTATACTGAGACGCCGCAGCTGAAGCGGATCCCGACAATTATGTCTGGATCCGCACAGCTGTGTGACTGACAGAAGGCTCTGCCTATCTAGAGGCAGAGCCAGCTGTACCCGCCCCCCTCCCCCGTCCGTTCCACCAGTCAGCGCTGGCGGATCGGAGCGGGGAATCCAGCCCCTCCTCTGTCACGGCAGAGAGCTGTGACAGGATCGAGAGGTGAGCGAAAGCCGGTATGTGTTCGCTCACCTCCCGATCTACTAAGCCGACCTGTGACAGTCTCATTGTCACAGGTCGGCTAGAACTATGAGGTGAGTGAAAAGCACTCACCTCATAGTTCTCCGTTAAGAAATAATTCCAAACAAAAGTTATGAATAGTGGGAACTTTTGTTGACACTTTTCTTCACTTCTGGTCTCACAGACAACCGGAAGTGAGTGCAACGCATGAAAAGCAGGGTAAATTTCCCTTTCACTCCTGTTTCTGAAAAAACTGGAAAATATTGTAATGTAATTCACCTCAGTTTCATTCTCATTAACAATATTTACCAGGACAAATAGGGAGGGTAAAGATCCCCAAATGGAATGCAGAAAGCAATAAAAACCAAGGGGAGGTTCTGCACTCTATTCAGCTCAAAGAAAATATCTGGAGTTCTCCTTTACAAAAAGGTCAAATAAGGACCGGTTACATTTTTGTGCTACATCAGAGCAGTTCCGTGCTGCTACACATGCACATGAAATGCACAAAAAAATGCAGTTAGTTTAACCCCTTCGTGACGGGAGACGTACAGTGTACGTCTTGTCACTTTGTGCCTATATGACTGGCCACGTACACTGTACGTGACGAGTTATATCAGGCTTTGTAATGCCGGTATTTGCTGATTCTCAGCATTTAACAGTCATTCATTAATGTCTCAGTATTGAGGCATTAATGAAATAATTAAGCTTTTTGTAAAAGCTTCTTCCTTTCATTAATGAAAGAATGAAGCCGTTACATGCAAATAGAGGACCGCAATTTGCGATCCCGTATTTGACAGCTCAAAATAGCAGAGAGGCAGCAGTGACTCACCTCACCTCTCTGCTATTTGTTTTGACAGTTCGAGAGCCCGATGTTTAGATACATTTCACTGAAAGAATACAATGTATCTCTTTTGAGTGAAATGTATCATTTCTGATCGTCTAGGCACGATCAAAGAGCTTTTAGTGAGATCTGAATCTGACTAAAGTCAGGATCAGTCTCTAAGGTTATTATTAGCTGTTCCTAAGTTTGGATCAGCCTAATAGCCAAAAATAAAATAAAAAAGTTAATTTATCAAGCTGTCATAGTGATTGCTTGATATAAACTGACAAGAAAAAAAAAAGTTTTTTTATTTTATTTTTATATTTTTTTTACAAAGTGTAAAAAAATGTAAAAAAAAGTGTAAAACAAAATTAGGAAAATATAAATTATGTATAAATATATTTTT